TCACTTAAACTGGTTTATGTGTAACTTCTGTCCCTAGCTGTGAAGCCAAATCAGTTAATTTCCATTAAATCTGTTGAGATCTTTGGATGCAAAATGCAAATAATATTTACTAATATGATCTGGGCACCTGAATTTGACGTGATCAGAGCAGATACACTGGTCCTATAAAGGTATCATAGTAGTGAAATTTGGTTTTTTTATGTTTGCTCCAATCACAGACATCTTATTGCAGCCATTTTGGTTCTGTTAGTAGCCTAAAACCTAAATGGGCATATTCTGTGGAAGCCACATTTTAGTTAGTGGACCACTAAGGCACTTTGGTCTGGTAGCTTTGCTGTCATTTAAAGCAGATGCTCATGTATAATAACCAGGGAATCAGGTTTTCCATTTATCATGGAAAAATGCAGATTTTCTCCTTTAAAGGACAAAAATGTGGGAAACTATGGGTGTTGCCTTGTAGGCTGACACAGTCCCAGACTGCAAGCAGCTGTTTGGAGCAGAAGGGAGCAGGAGGAGGGTGATCAAAGGCAGGGAGCACGACGTGCATATGGTCGGCAATACAACCCCAGGCAGCATGGTGGAGAGCAACTCCTGCATCTGCCTGAAAGTAAGTTTATGGGGAGGGGACATAGCTGGTGACACATGGGGGAGGGCATAGGTGACATGGCGGGAGGATACATTTTGTGGGGAGATGGAGGCAGTGGCTCACGCCAAGCCTGCATGGTGAGGGAGAGAGTCGGGCAGGGTTGGCAGCTGGGGGTGATGCCTACCCAGGACAATTCATGGTGCCTGGGGCTGGAATGCATGGTTGTGGAGCCATGAATTCCAAGTGCCTTGTTCGGAGGAGGAAGGACCAGCTCCCTGCCACTGCATGTACTCCCGGGGAGGCAATGGGCACCAGAGGCAATGTGTAGGGAAGGAATGGGAGGGAACACACACCCCTCCTACCCCACACCCCTCCCTGCCCCACACACACAGTTCCCACCCCACACACTGGGGGACTTGGCCCTGGGGCAGCTGAGGGTCCCCTCTGGCAAAGCTGGGGGTGGGAGAAAGGGTGCTGAGGGTTGGAAATAAGGGGCATCTCTGGCTCCCTGCCTCCTCCTTGGCCCCCACCTGAGCTGAGGCAGGGCTCTGCCCTGGGGAGCTGTGATGCCCCCTGCCACCTTGGTGCATTCCCTGGGTGGTTGATCTCACTGACCACCACTAAAGCCAACTCTGCCTGCAGGTCATGCTAGCAGGGCTGGCAGTGACAGGGGGGTGTGGGTCATGCTGGCAGGGCTGTGGGGGCTGTGGCTTGGGAGTGAGGGACACCAACGTATCAGGGCTACTCGGCACCACAAAGCAGGGGGTGGGGGGAGAGACAGCCGCAGGTGGATCCGCATCCTGGTGAGCAAAGGGGGCAGAGGCAACTCTGATTTTCCATGTTACAAAAAACCAAAATCAAATTATAATGACTGAGGCACTGGTAGGCTTCCAAATTGCTTT